AACCATCCAAATTTTGTTCTTTGTATTACTAACACAATTTAACCGTATCAGTTTGGCACGTGGTATTACTATTGTTCCTACTGTAGCAAGTTCTAGTTTTCCCAAGTCTTTCCCTGGAAAGACTTTCCCTATTCTGGAAATAAATTTATCATCTATTTTAAACACTCAATTAGAATGTTAATCTGTTGTTCAAATTATCCTCATAAATGCATGCCCCAGGTTGGTATGTTCACATAGCTCCTTTCCCATTTTAGGCTAAGCAGAAGACATGCACTCAGAGCTGTATTAAAGCAAAAGACAACTCCTCTTATTATCAAGAGAAACTGTGATCCTTCCATGTAGTGTCTGATAGAGAAAACATTGATTTTGATACATTATCTTATTTTATTCAAATACCAGTCTGATCACATATTGTCCAAAAACACTCAAATAACAAACCAAATACAGACAGATGTTAAAGATTGGTCTTCAAACATCATAACCAATGATGCCACGCTTGCCTATGATCTCGCCGACATAAAACCACATCCACACCTCAGTGGCCACCAAACCATTCAGCAGAGCTTCCTGAAAAAAGCAGCATAAATTTTAATGTACATTTTTTTCTTACATATTTAAAAGTATTCTCTTCCAGGAGTAAGCAACAGAATATAAGGATGCTATTCATTTAGAGGGCAATTTTAGCCCAAGTCAAGAATTACCGATGTTAACTTTGTTCAACTGCTGAGGACACTTGAACTTTCAATTATGTAAGGTAAATAGTCCAGAGCTTATAAATTCTTTCAAAGGGTTCTTTAAAGAGCTGAACTGACTTAACCCTTTCATTATTAGTTTATGAGACACTTTACGAGCCCTAAAACAACCCACATCCTGGAAAGAGCTGACACATTTAGACAGGGCATTCATATGAAAGGATAGGAAGGCAAGTCTCAGAACAGACAATTCTGTCTGGCCAAAGAGAGTTTGTTGAGAGTTGAAGAGCTTGGTCTTCCCCTTTATTCATTTATTATTTGGTTTAACTCTTTCCAAGTATTCAGTGAATATTCAGTTTCCCAGATCAATGTTGTACTGCCCAGAGAGCAAAAAAAGCACATGACTGGTTCCTAAAAGCAATGCTGCACGCAAGCAACCATGGATCTTGAAGCTCTAGTTGA